AAATCATTAAAAAAACAAACATTTTCCTCAATAATTTAATATCAATTCAATCAATTCATTTAACATACATGTACAATGACAAAACAATGACATTCAGTTATAAAAGTGTCTTTATAATTATTTTCTGAATGATTTTCATGATATAAATACACCAATACGAGTTCTCTTTTATTGCAAACATACTCAATTTAATATATGAATCAATTTTATAAACAGTGCAGCCCCCTTTTGTACATGATATTTAGAAACAAACCTTAATAGGCAAAGAAAACAGGTAAATTTCTTCTAGAGACTTGATCTTCATGTCTTTGACAAGACGTCCAAGTTTCGTAACTAAATGCATTGCATAAAGAAATAAATAAAGCACTGTGGTAAAATAAGTAATATGGGGCACTATATGTAAAAAGTTGAGAAATACAATCTTTTATATCTTCATCAAAAGTCACAAAACATTATATTTACAAAGTCACAAATTACAATATTTCACTTAATTGTACAGTTCAAATGGGGAAGATGGGAAGCTGCGTCTGAGTAATCTATCACGTTGATAAGTCCTTGTTGGTAACTGTCTTTCAGTAGTTGGAGTCTGCATGTGTCTATTATTATGTATCGTCGTCTTTTTGGTGGGCGGGCTCCTCCTGCTGCATACTGGATAATATAACATTCTGTTAGTGCCTTTGTCTTCTTCAGTAACTCGATGATCTCTTAGATGTTAGGGGTGATTCCATAGAAAGCGGAATCCTTCAACCCAGAACTCTGTCACGTAATCTGTAAATGATGTTGCAACTGTAATGTTGTCAGCTTTCCAATGTCTTCTAAAATTGTTAGCCAAACATCCTCAACAAGGTGGGGTGTATTGTTGGTTTTTTTTTAGAAGAAAAATGCTACCTTGGATGCAGATTACTGTTCAAATTGTGTCATATTGAAAGCTTGGCTACTGAACATTTGCATTTACCAGTATATCCCTTTTGTTAGAATTAATTGAATATTTTTTATATTAAATTTCAGAACAGTGTCTTTATTAAAATTTAAAAATAAGTTCAATAAATAAAATAAAATTTTAAATGACATTTATTCTAATCGTTAGTTTCATTATTGTGCTTTTACTTTTTTTCAGAATGTACCAATAATTGAAACTATTTGTTGAAAAATTGTAAAAATAATAAACATTTTTGTACACATTTTTTCCTATTTCTTTTTTTTTTTTCTGTTTGTCAAATTAAATACATTTTCCTGCTAAAAAAATATATGAAATATAGAATATGTTTGCACATTTTCCTTGAGATGATAACAGAATATAATGATTTTTTACAGGTAAAATAAAATGTAAAAATATGACTATAATTCAGAAATAAACTATAATTGTTAAAATAACAATTCCCCCTATGTTTACATATGCATGTAATTAAAAGTGGGCAAACCAGGATGACACCACTTCTACTATAGATAGAAGTTATGAACCTAAAAGGTTTTAAATAGAAAAATGACTGTTTAGCTTTTCTAATATGATTATTTTTATCTCTGTCATTTTTTGTGTTTGGTATTATCAAAAATACTTCTGTTAATATTAACATTAACATGAAGATAAATGTTATAATGAATATGTGCAAAATTTTACTTTTCTTTTTTTCATATTTACTCTTGTAACATTTGTTTTGGAATCTTTGTTCCATTCAATTATCTTTTTATAATTACTCAATACACACAAACATAAATACAAAAGACAAGACATATAAACATATATATTTTTTTTTGTTTTTTGTTTGTTTGTTATATATAAAAATTTTATAATTTATAGATGCACTGATTGTCTTTTCCTATCTGGTTCATTGGTAGTAGGTGGGGTTCTTTCCTTGGCTGCATTTGTTTTATTCTTGGGGGTTAAAAATTTTGAAATGTCAGATTGTGCTGATGAAGAATCTCTTTTTGCTTCTGCTGGTTTTGATGCCTGTTGTTTAGAAGAATCACTTGAAGTTTTATTTCCCTCCTTTTTTGAAGACTTGTTTGCCTTCTTTTTTTTTATCTTTTTTGGTATTCCCTGATGTTATTTCTTCATTTAATGACATAGAGTGTGTCAGATTGTCCTCATCATCTCCATCTGTTAATTCAGGTTGTTCATCAGTATCCTCTTTTTTGTCATTTTCTCTAAGATCTTCAGTTTGTTGTCTTTCTTCATATTTTGTATTTTCATCATCATTAGCTGTTGTTGTTTCTTGTTGCCCTTTTCCTTCTGTTTCAGAATGTTTTTCCATGTTCGTATTCACAAAGGTAGGGCATTCAAGCATCTTATGGCCATATTCATTGCATAGTCTTCATTTCCATTCATTTGGACAGTTATTTATATTATGTCCTTTCAGTTGGAATTTGTTGCACAAGAACATGTCTGTATCTTTCAATTGACCAAAGTGATATATTCTTGCTGTGTATTGACCTATTGTAAGAAACCTTGGGAGTTGTTTGTCAAACTTATTGCATGAGACTACTCTGTCTCCTGTCCAGCAGTATGTAACCAAGTTATCGACCCTAAGTCTTTCTCTATTTATAGTGTTAACTTCTATGTTTCTTTGTCTTAGTTCTCTGTCAAATTGACCATCATCTGCTGATAGTGGGATGTTTTTAACTCTTACTGTTGTTGTTAACCACTCATCTTTTTGGTAATATGGGTTTTGGGAGTGCAGAGGTACCGACTTAATCTTAATGTGATGCCTTCTGTTAGCAACAGCATTCTGTCTACCTCATTGTCAAGGTAGATTCTCCACATTTGTTTTATTCTTTGTATGCTTCTTACAAACTGCGGTTTTATCTAATGTTCAAGTGCTTTGTATATTTCTACGTGTGTTTTCCAAAGTGCTTTTGGCGGAGTTTTGTTGCCAAGGAAGTCTGATTCTTTCATGAAGATAGGTTTGACTCCTTTAAGCTTTGATTCAAGATCACTGTAGGCCTGATAATTTACACTATGATGTTTACAACATTGAAGAAAGATGGCGCTAACATATTGTCACTACCACCGGACGAAGATTTGTCAATTTCTGGTTGTGTACCATCTGAATCTTGCTTGTTACTTTCATTTGCTGTTCTGGTAACATGTTTTGGTTGTTAGACATTGTTTTAATGACTTACTTGTCATATACTCTACACTTTTTATGATTTTTTTCGTCAGAGCTATTCACCACTAGACCGTAGTTAAAGGGCGATAATTCCTTCTCCCAAGAAAGATAAAAATTGTTACCTGATATGGACAATCGGTCATGTGCTATTGCAATGTTTCCTTAATTATGACAGCATAGACATATCGATACAACATGAAAACTATGTACCCTGTCTTGGGTAGAGGTTCGATAACATGTAGATTTTGAAAGTTTTAAGCAATGCAAAAGCAACTGACGTCATTTTTATTTAAAAAAACTAAAGTGAAGCTTTCAATTATAAATGCAATTACAACATCATGTCATCGATGCCCTAACCAGATTACGAAAGAATGATACATTTGAAATTTTAAGGTAAAGGGCCGGTAGATTTGAACCAAATGTCTTTGTACTTTAAGAGAAGAGCTGATATACTTACTGATAATTGTCCAGAAAGTTTTCATTCTATTACTATTTTTTTATTAAATGGAAAAATTGAAACTTTATATCAAATTTAAATTAATTAATTAAAATGTTTTACAATAAGCGATTTCCTATATAATTCTGCTATACAAATGAAGACATAAACAGCAAATAGTAAAGTGTTTAAAACTTAAAAATACTTGTATATTGCTTTTTGACATACAATTTCAAATAGACACGTATAAAATTTATAAAGACTATCAAAGATATTTAATCAATACAACTCCAAGGAGCCATTTATGATGTTCTACGAGTACCAACTGACTGCCATATGAAAATATTGCATTGTTTATCTATTGTTTGTAGATCTAATCATCTTTGTTTCTAAAAATCGAATGTCATTTGAACACAGGTTTAACAAACATCACGAAACAAAACGTTTAAAACAGCAACACAAGAATAAAATTACCAAGGCAAAGAAACAAGCCAAACAATAATAGGTTGGACTATGCACGGTATTTTTACAAGTCGAGACATTTATTCAAGTTTTACAATTTAAAATTCAGAATTCACAAATACAAATTCGAATTCTTCTCTTTAAATGTTAGAGAATATTAAATTTCACAAGGCCTTGTAAGCCTTTTTCACGAATGTGACCTACCGAATTAGACTATTTACCGGGTTTGTATTAACATGAGCAACACGACGGATGCTACATGTGGAGCAGGATCTGCTTATCACCCCCAGTTTTTGGTGGGGTTTGTGTTGCTTAGTCTTTAGTTTTCTATGTTTTGTCTTGTATACTTTTATTTGTCTGTTTGTCGTTTTCTTTTTTTAGCCATGGCGTTGTCGTTTTTTTTTCTATCTTTTAGTTTGAGTGTCCCTCTGGTATCTGTCGCCCACTTTCTCAAACAGATGACAAGACACAGTTCCTCGGTCAGGCTCCCTGAACATATGGTCATTCAAACTAGGCTTTTGAGATCTAAACTCCCAAGTGTTATATCGATAAATGGAAATTAAAAAACGTAATTACCTGCTTACGTCATATGTACATGGAATGTTAATATATATTTATGTCGTAAGGCACGGATTCCCATCACTACTGCTTGTCGTGAAAATACACAAAACACAATTCTGATTTGCAAGTCACTTTTATACACTGATGTACCAGAAGATCATCTCAAGATCTGCATGCATTACAATACATCCACGTATAACTCTTGAAATTTACGTCTGTCTACCGAAACAAAACGCATAAGCTTTCGTTTAGTCATTATACACTTATCATTTAATAGTTTCCTTAAATCAGATCATTATTTGCGGAAAAAAATAAAAAGTGAGGTAGACACGGAAGACAGAATTTATACCAATTAATTAATGGAATAAGTATGAACTTCAACATTATTATCATTCGATTGTACTTTAGGTTGGTACAATTACATTGTAACTTACCTTTTTTCTTTTTTCGATAAAGTAATTTATACTCGTCAACAACCATTTTCAATGTATTAATTTGCAATTGGACTATGTTCTTATATCTGACAGGTTCTGCAAGATATTTAATTTTTTCGAGATCATCCCAAGAAGTTTGAGCTTGTATGGTTTGCATAATCGTTTCAAACCAATTTTTCTCTGTTTCGTTGCATTTCCCAGCTTTCATGAGATAGCCAATTAAATCATTAAGCGGACAATCTTCAACAGAAACGTTTGTTTTATCAAAATATTCCGGAAAACAATTTGTCCTTTTAGTTCCACCTGATGGTCCATCTTCCGAAATTTGCTGTAAACACAGACAACATGGTTGATGGAAGATATTTCTATGTTTGTCAAAAAACTTGCGAAGTGAATATGTTCCATCTTGAGTTGGAGGAAGTCTAAGTTCCACAAAATGGTACAAAACCTGCCTCCCGGTATCAGTGAAAAGTGTCCATAACCTCGTATGGTCATCAGATGCACCAAAATCGTCGTCGTCGTCTGAAAAATGTAATAAAAAATCAAATCCCCAAGGTTTATAATTTTTGTTATATAACACAGATACAATGAGTATATGATAATTCAAATGATATCTTTAAAACTTGTTCACGGTTTAAAGAAATATTTATCAAATTTCATACTAAAAAATACCAAAAAGAATATTTATATTATTACTAAAACGTATAATAATGATAATAGTAACAAAATCGTTTTTGTTACAATAAAAAGTGGACGCATATAAAAGTAGCCCTACTCTGACACAACATAAAGCTTTTGATGTCATTGTATTCTTAAACTGACCAACACATTTGCAGAAATGAAACTGTAGTTGAAAGAGAAATGTTGTTAGACCATTTTGAGCCAACATTTACTTGTCTATGATATTGTGATAAAAATTGAGGATCAACATAGTATATAGATATAGGAAGATGTTGTATGAGTGCCAATGAGACAACTCTCCATCCAAGTCACAATTATAAAAGTAAACCATTATAGGTCAAGGTACGGTCTTCAACACGGAGCCTAGGCTCACACCGAACAGCAAGCTATAAAGGGCCCCAACAATTACTAGTGTAAAACCATTCAAACGGGAAAACCAACGGTCTAATCTATATAAAAAACGAGAAACGAGAAACCCTTAGGAACCACATAAACAGACGACAACCACTGAACATCAGATTTCTGACTTAGGACAGGTGCAAACAATTGCAGCGGGATTAAACGTTTAAATGGTACCAAACCTTCTCCTTTTTCTGAAACAATAGTATAACATCAAAACATAGAAAGACACACTATAAAATATCAATTGGAATGACTTAACTGAATCAAAAAACGTAGTTACACAAACTTATTTAAGATTTCATAAAAAACCTGGGGTTCTTTTAAGTACTTGGCTTCCCAAAGGCAGTTCCTTTGTACAAGACTGTAAACATGGGATTTAAAAATTGGCATGTTAAAAGATGATCAATTCATCCCTTCGTAAATTTTACGGACGCCATCACGAGTTGGTTGACCGTTATGGAATAACCGTTTCACCGGTGATATCGGATATGTTCCTTACGTCGTAGCTACAATTCCCTTCCCTTTTCATGAATGTGACCTAGCGAATTAGACTATTTACCGGGTTTGTAATAACATGAGAAACACGACGGGTGCCACACGTGGAGCAGAATCTGTTTACCCTTCCGGAGTACCTGAGATCACCCCAGTTTTTGGTGGGGTTCGTGTTGCTTAGTCTTTAGTTTTATATGTTGTGTCATGTGTACTATTATTTGTCTGTTTGTCTTTTTCATTTTTAGCCATGACGTTGTCAGTTTATTTTCGATCTATGAGTTTGACTGTCTCTCTTGTATCTTTCGCCCCTCTTTTGTACATGTACAATTCAGGATATACCTGGTTTTAATGAAATTAAACTTAAGGTAAAACATTAGAAAAGCTGTGAAAATTGAAAAATTTGATTGAATATATAGGAATTATGAATTGGTGGTCTGACACCTATAGTGATTTTTCTTTTCATTGATTTTTCTACCGCTTTTATCGACTTTGAATTTATCGTGAATTGATTCAAATCATTTGTAAGATTAAGAACTAATACAAACATCTTTGTTTCCATATAAATGCACCCATTACAATCATTATATACAGGAACTACAGCTGATTTACTGTTTATACTTTTTGAGAAACAAACCTAATCAAGTAACTTTAATATTGATCACTGACTGACATATATACGCTGCAAGGAACCCATATATCCCAATATAGTAATCCTATTACTCATAATAAGAGAGAAATTCATTTTTTTTCAAGCAGTCGCTGAACCATGAAAATGAGATCAGGGACAATTGACATGTGATTGATGGAAACTTTGTAATATAAGGTATCTACATGTAAGATATGAAGTATCCTGGTATTCTACCTTCTGACATATAAAGCTTTAAACAAAAAGTTTATGACGCCGACGCCTCCGAATAGTAATACCTATGTCTCGCATACAGCGACTTTTCTCACAGTCGAGGCAAAAATCAAAAGTTTTGATAGGATCAATTAAAGAAAGAGATCGATGTTTTAAACTATCTAGAATATACAAAAGAATATATGGTATGATTGCCAATGAGACAACTCTCCACAAGAGACCAAATGACACAGAAATTAAGAAATTAACAACTATGGGTAACCGTACGGCCTTCAACAATGAGCAAAGCCCATACCGCATAGTCAGCTATAAAAGGCCCCGAAATGACAAATGTAAAACAATTAAAACGAGAAAACAAACGGCCTAATTTATGTACAAAAAAATGAACAAAAAACAAATATGTAACACTTCAAAAAACGACAACCACTGAATTACAGATTCCTGACTTTGGACATGCACATACATACAGAATGTGGCGGGTTTAAACATATAGAAGTTCTTTTAGAGTTCTTTAGAACCTACATATGGTTAATACCACTACGCGAGTAAACAGTGGCACAGTTTCCTAGTATTTCTGAAGACCCTCTTTCACTGCGGACAGATTTAGATACAGACTAAAGTCATAGATACAAACTTTTAAACCATATCAAAATTTTGAAATGGTTTTAAGTTCCAATGTGAATGCAACCTATTTTGAGGAGAACATTGTGTACCGATGGTTTTTCTCGTTCACATTTTGTTATGTTGGAACATAATATATCTAACAAAACGGTATTGGTTTTTATCAATGTTGTCGACCATACTGTTTCTGGCGTACAAAATGTTAATCCTGGAATCTATGATGAGTTTATTAATATGTAATTGCTATCATCTACCTCAGTTGGACTGATCTCCATAGCAATAATACCACATATTCTATTTTTAAATCAATTTAATATTTTAAAGTATATACAAAATTAGAACTAACCTTGTAATTCATTCGAAGTTACCTTTTCGACTATTCCAATAACTTTATCAAGAACTTCGCTTAGCTCATTTTTAAGCATTTTAAACCTGATCTCATCTGGCACTAAGCTTAATTCATAAGCACTGAATAGCTTTGTCTCTAATTCCTCACACTCTTTCTTATGGCCACCAAGACCAACAACTGCCTGAAATTCAAAGCACCGTAAATCTTTTGTATATTACGTTTTATTACCGATAAAAATTGCTTTATAAATTTTCATTTATTAACGAGACTAATTTTACAGTAGAAATTTACAAATTATCAATAATATAAGGTGTCAAATTTCAAGATACAATACTCATTTATGTATATTGTACATTGAAATTATGATTACAAAGAGAAGAAAACAATATTTGAACTGACAGAAATACTAATATATAATTAGGAAACTTAAATATGGAAAAAAACTGAACAGGCTTATAACTGTGTATTCCAGATGCGCGTTTCGTCTACAAAATACTCATCAGTGACGCTCGAAGCAAAAATGTTAAAAAGCCAAATCAAGTACGAAAAGCATCATCGGAATAGAAGATTAACCCACGTTCATTATGAAATAACATGCGCATTGTAAAACCTTTTTTCGTAATGATAATTTTAAGTAAGGCTAATTATTCTTACAATTGTTATATTTTCCCAACATTCGGCAAAATCTGTGTTGCTTATTGTTCCATGTTTAGAATGGGCTATCATATTTCTGTAAATTTTTATCCTAGATAAATGAGCCCCAAGATTGTTACGGGTCTGATAGGGAAGAACATCGGATATCTCAATTTTAGTCAAGTTCTTGATCAACAAAATCATAAGTGTGATATCAAACATCTGTGATTCGGGAACACCTGAAAAAGCAAGGCATGTACTATAATCTTTTGTGGGAGACCGTTTATAGATTGACATGTAGATGTCTTTCCCTTTTACAAAAATGTATTATCCAAGTATTAATTTGTATGTTTAATTAAACTTGTTGAAAATTCTTCTAGAAAACACCCACGTTCTGATTATGATTTTCATTTCAAATGCTAACGGTATTTTTGTCTTTTATAAGAATAGTTCTTTACTTTTTCTTTTTACGAATAACATGTTGAGTAACCTCAAAAACAAATATAGGAAGTTTGTTTCTAACTCTGTTCATAGTTTTTACTTATATCGTCGGATAAAACGGGTTTTTCTGGAGGGTGGGCTTCCTTTCAGTGTCTGACACACGCAGTTCAGAGGCCTACAACTTCCAAAAATAGTGTAAACCTGCGGAAATATATCTACGCATCGCATTTAGTATTTAAATTCACTTAGTGAACGACTACTTCCGGTTGCAGGTCCAGTCGAAGCCAGAAATCGGAAAAGATCGAGAAATTCTGGATTTTTTTGTGCAAATGACCTTATTCGGACTGCTGTACCCAGATCAGTTTCACTCCGACCTAAGCGTTGGTGTGGTTAATGTGCTACATGCAGACTACAGTTGGATACATCTATCAGCATCCCATGGTCTTCCAGGTCATGAAATAGGACGAAAAATCGTCAAAATTAACGCTTTTTGCACCCAAAAATCATCTTTGGGGCACATTCCCGCCCCGTGATCCCTATCTTAGCTTTGATGGAATCAATATTTATCAGCAGCCGGTAATGGCTCATTTGCATATAATTTGCATGCTTTTGGAAATTTTGAAATTTTCTTAAAACAATTCAGCATGGTAAGAGTTAAAATATTGTAATGAAATTATAAATAAATTGAGAATTCACCCATGTACCGATATGCATGATTGATAACGATGCAAACTTTAATTACTGAAATAAAGAGCTTAAACCCAACACTATGCGGTATATGTTCCTATGTACCGATATGCATGATTGATAACGATGCAAACTTTAATTACTGACATAAAGAGCTTAAACCCGACACTTTGTGTTATTGAGGGACATTTACTAGGTTTCGAATTGTTCCAACAAATCAACGGATTTTTACTTTTTTAGAGAGCCAGTAATATCTTCCAATCAGTTAGAAGGAAAGCATTCAGTTCGAAAACTGTGCATCGTTCAACTTATAATACCATCTCCGAGGAGACAGTCATAAAATGTAGATGAGAGTTATTTGTATTAAAATCAACATTTCCAGCAAAAGATAAACGTGTACACGTACACTAAAATAACCCCTTTCCACCATCAACGTTGTATACAAATAAAATACTAAAAAGTCCAAATGTAAATCGGAATATGATTTCAAGGCGGTATATAGATAATGATATCTGAATAATAATAAATGTCAGATGGCTATTTTTGAGTGTGTAACGGTCGGTTAGTTACTTATTAACGAACACATCCTCGTGTAAATAAAATTGAGAATGGAAATGGGGAATATGTCAAAGAGACAACAACCCGACCAAAGAGCAGATAACAGCCGAAGGCCACCAATGGGTCTTCAACGCAGCGAGAAAATCCCGCACCCTGAGGTGGTCTTCAGCTGGCCCCTAAATAAAATTGTGTACTGGTTCAGTGAAAATGGACGTCACACTAAACTCCAAAACATATAAAAGAACTGAAATTAAAAAAAACATACAAGACTAACAAAGGCCAGAGGCTCCTGACTTGGGACAGGCGCAAAAATGCGGCGGGGTTAAATATGTTTTGTGAGATCTCAACCCTCCTCCTATAACTCTAGCCAATGTCGAATAAAGAAACACATAGCAATACGCACAGTAAAACTCAGTTTAAAAGAAGTCCGAGTCCGATGTCAGAATAGGTAACAAAAGAAACTAAGCAAAATGACAATGATACATAAATTAATAAAGGACTACTAGCATTTACTGACATGTCAGCTCCAGACCTCAATTAAACTGATTGAAAGATTATGTCTTCATCATATGAAAATCAGGTACAATCCCTCCCGTTAGGGGTTTAGTATCATACCATCATAAAATCTATGAGAAAAACATAACCCGTATCATGCCAACAACTGGTTTTAGAATAAATGTTTATTTCCGATGCAAAGACCCTATGAGTGAATCAATATTAATACCAAAATATGCAATCCTTAATGACCTGACAACAGTATCGTAACTATATCCCTTCAGAAGAAGTCTGTTTAAAGGTTTAGTTAGATTTTGAGGTGAATGCCGACATTGTTGTGCTTTGTAAAGAATATTGCCATAAAATATTGGATGTGAAATACCTGAACGTATAAGATGTCTGCATGTTTATTTATATTTACGAATGAGTTGTGATATATAAACACCGTAAGATGGTGCCAAAGGAACATCACCGTCCAAAAATGAACGCTATATTACTGAATTTTCGTTGATGCAACGACCAAAGCTGATTTTTTTCAAAATAAAATAGTCTTCACCATGGTCAGATTTCGGAATATGGTAAAGCATCAAAATTTATGTTTTTGTTTTTTTTTTAGTATTAGACGATATGAATTTCGTTGTCATAAATTATGCTCATAAAAGTAAATAGATATACCATTTCAAAACCGGAAATAAAAACGCAACGGCTTCTAGCAAATGTCTTGCAAGAATGTCAAATGTCAAATTTCGTCGCTTTTTACAAGTAAACTGTCAGTTGCGACGTCATTTATTAAAACTTTCGATTTTTTGCATACAAAATAGTGCTGTTCCGTAATTGTACGTTAACCCTACAAAACAGTTACATAATTTTTGATAATTTGCGTAGTCAACATGACTTTGTTTTTTTAAAAAAAATACAATGTCTTGCAAATTTGTCCACTCAGCGATTTTCTAACGTTTTGCACGTTGTCGGTTCGGGAAGCTATTGAATTCTTTTAAAATCAAATTGAAATATTTGTTTCTTTTTTGTTTTGGTACTCTGTAACGTCACTTTTAGCGACCTTGGTTGTATCATATTTGACAGTTTTCATTGATGGAGGAAGTCGAAGAACCGATGACCTTCAGTAAGATAACTAACAATAATTGTCAATTAATATCGAAGTCGAACAAACCTCGCCACGAGCGTATATCAGACTCGACAGGTTCGTGGTAACTTTAAATGAACCAATTAGACCACTACGCCCCCGCATTATCATGATAAACTTAAAACCCGTGGAACAGAATCGCTAAATACACCAAGTATTATCTTCAAATTTTGATACCAATCTTCTTGTCCGAGACTTATCGTGTTACAATTGTGATAACTGTTTAATGGAACAATAAACGATTGTGTGAAAACGCAATTTATTTCAAATTTCAAAAAGGTAAAAATGATTCGAATTCCAAAAACTTAATGATAACTATTGCGATACAAATGATAATACGTGTATAATCGAAGACATTGTTGAAAAGAACATGGTAATTGCGGGTTTTTGCAGACGATAAAGATTAAGACCACAAACTATGAAAAAGAAATATTCAGATGAATTGGATTGTTCGTTTAGCCGAGGTTCTAAAGTTGTGAAAGGGATGTTTTACGAAAAGATACAAAATCAGACATTTATTTTCAAACTTGTGAAGCGTAAACACTGAGATTTGTTATTCCTCTGAAATACGATTCATATGTATAGAACTTGAACATGTTTAACCCCGCCACATTCTGTTTGTATGTGCCTGTCCCAAGTCAGGAGCCTGTAATTCAGTGGTTTTCGTTTGTTGCTGTGTTACATATTTGTTTTTCGTTCATTTTTTTGTACATAAATTAGGCCGTTAGTTTTCTCGTTTGAATTGTTTTACATTTGTCATTTCGGGGCCTTTTATAGCTGACTATGCGGTATGGGCTTTGTTCATTGTTGGAGGCCGTACGGTGACCTATAGTTGTTAATTTCTGTGTCATTTGATCTCTTATGAAGAGTTGTCTCATTGGCAATCATACCACATCTTCTTTTTTATATTGAAAGTGAAAATAAAATGTTTGTGCTTGAAGAATTACGTATACACCTCAATGTAATGCAAAGCTTGTAAACATATTGGATGAATATACATGTACCTATTTGTTCTGACAATCGTTTTCTTTTTTTAATTTAATTGTTCCGTCTTTGAAAATGGTAAAGTGCTGAATATTTTTTCTATATTAAACTTTTTAAGTATGATTCGTTTAACTTGCATGTGATCCCCCACACACCTTCTTTTATTAAAGCAAAATGGAGAACTTCGTCCTTTTTCTCGGATTTAAATGGGAGAAAACATTAAATATAATTACGTTCTAAACCATATAATCTTACCCAAATACATTTTCCAGTGGGAAATATGTCATGCATATTCATTCAGAAGTATCAATATTGATCAGAAAAATTTTCCAACAAAAACAAATCCACCATTATCGGCGTAAAACGTCAAATTTTGACATTACTAATTGAGACGCAATATCGTACGTAACGTCAAAGCTTTCCAATATCATCGAACCTTCTTGATATAAACAAAATATCAATATTTTAGACGTCTTTTTCAGTAATAACAAAACATTCTTTAATCAAGCAAGAGTTATTTCAGGCATCTCAGGACATATTTGTCAGTGGAAATAGTACATTTATCACAAACAAGAGGCTCTCAAGAGCCTGAATCGCTCACCTGTATTTCAGAGGAGAAGATTTTTAAATGTTAGCAAACTTGATGAACAAATTGTGTAAAATTGTCTTTAAAGGGCAATAACTCCTTAAGGGGTCAATTGACAATTTTGGTCATTTAACTTTTTTGTAGATCTTACTTTGCTGAACATTATTGCTGCTTACAGTTTACATATATCTATAGTAATATTCAAAATAATAACAAAAAACTGCAAAATTTTGTTAAAACTACCAATTCGGTGGCAGCAACCCAACAATGGGTTGTTCGATTCGTCTGATAATTTCAGGGCCGATAGATCTTGACGAATTAAACAATTTTACCCCATGTCACATTTGCTCTAAAAGATTTAGTTTTTGAGATATAAGCCAAAAACTGCATTTGACCCTTATGTTCTATTTTTAGCCATGGCGGCCATGTTTGTCAATGGATACAAACTTCGCATACAATTTATAAACAAGATACCTTAAGGAACATTTACTTAAAGTTTGAAGGTAATTGGCCCAGTAGTTTCAGAGGAGAAGATTTTTAAATGTTAGCAAACTTGATGAACAAAGTGTGTAAAATTGTCTTTAAAGGGCAATAACTCCTTAAGGGGTCAATTGACAATTATGGTCATTTAACTTTTTTGTAGATCTTACTTTGCTGAACATTATTGTTGCTTACAGTTTATATATATCTATAATAATATTCAAAATAATAACAAAAAACTGCAAAATTTTGTTAAAACTACCAATTCGGTGGCAGCAACCCATCAATGGGTTATTCGATTAGTCTGAAAATAGCAGAGCTGATAGATCTTGACCAATTGAACAATTTAATCCCATGTCAGATTTGCTCTGAAAGCTTTAGTTTTTGAGATATAAGCCAAAAACTGCATTTGACCACTATGTTCTATTTTTAGCCATGGCGGCCATGTTTGTCGATGGATCAAAACTTCGGATACAATTTATAAACTAGATACACTAAGGAACATTTAGTTAAAGTTTGAAGGTATTTGGCCCAGTAGTTTCAGAGGAGAAGATTTTTGAAATAGTTTACGACGACAGACGACGACAGACGACAACAGACGACGACGACGACAGACGACGACAGACGACGACGACGGACGACGACGGACGCTAAGTGATGGCATAAGCTCACATGGGGTCCATCGGGCCCCGGTGAGCTAAAAAGTAGATGTCTTAAAAGGATGATTACGACAACTTTCGTGTTACTCCTATAAACAACATTGATAAGTTATAATGTTAAGTGATGAGTTATCTGGCATTAGCGGATTGATAATTGACTCGTATATAACCCATCATCAAATTTGTTAACGATCGGTCATGTTAATTTTCTAACCCTAAAACTGGACCGAATGTAAAATTTTGAAATTAAAACAAGATCTTCATTTTCAATAATTTCAAATTGTCATTTTAGATGATATATATGTGTATAAAGGTAATATGAGTAATACCATTAGAATAATCAATATAGAAATCATTATTATACGGATGAATTAAAAATCGTTATTTTTTTATTATTTTTTTTTATACTTCCTCATTTGTGCAGAATTAATTATCGGTATCGCTTCTCTCTTCCGGACTTTGCGTAAAACATAAGGAAGTTCATGCAAATTTATTTTATCTGATAACTATTTGTATGTTATTATATGTAAATATATCTTTCTTTCAATCATCAACTTGGTTTTATTAGAAATAAAGAATCTATATTCTATCTATATGATAACTAAATGGAATATTGAAAGTTAAACAACGAAAAATAAATTCCGTATCAAAATGAATCTATCAGTATCGTATACACTAAGATTAATAATAATTAGTAGACTTGATATCTTCGTCATTTTAACATGTTGTATGTACAAATGTACAAATGATTACACTTTTAATTAAATAATACTAAAATGAAAAAAAAAAAGAGTTGGGTAAAGATAGCGTTTCTTTGTTTACATTGAAAATTACGTCGTTAATCAAATTCCTAAAAAACAGGACCAACATCGAAAACGTTTCCGTATTTCAGTAACTTTTTCAACAGAGTAAATGCTTGGAATTTTTATATTTTGTTTGCAATCTGTTTAAGAATTATTTATTGTTTAGACCACAGTAATACAGCTTGTGATGTAGGATATCTCAAAAGTTACGGATTATTTTCAAATGAACGTGATTCTTTTTGTATCTGTTTATGTCATAATCTGTAAAACCCAAAGATATTTGATAGTCTGCTGTTGTCTGTTCTATGGTCGGGTTGTTGTCTCTTTGACACATTCCCCATTTCCATTCTCAATTTTATTTTTATTAGTACTAAACTGTTGTTTTAAATTTGCAAAAAATAGTATTCAATAATTATCGAGACTGACTTCATATTCTATTACAAGTAACTCTTGCCTCGTATGATAAAGACAAAGACTTAGTGCTCAATAACAGTAGAAAAAGCAAAAATCAATATAATAATCAATATACGAAATGAATCTAAAATCGTTAAGTTTTCAGACTTCCGCATTTGCGCAGAAATCCTTTCCGTTATCGTTCCTCTCGGGATCTAACCAAAAACATAACGAAGGAGCAGCATTTGATTTCCGTATCAGAGTTCTAACAATATTTGAAGTTTTGAACAGAGATAGATGTAGTATGAGTGATGAAAGTGCCGTTGAGCTATAACATGTTTAACCTTTTTCGGAAGAGCATGAACATCTTTTTGTTTAGGTTTTGTACGACATAATTCGCCACAGGATCCATAAGATTTTTTTAAATGTTTTATTTCGTTTCTAATTTTTGGAATTAGGCTCAAGGTATGTGGGGAAACTATTTCTCTAAATAAACAAAACACTCGTGACAAACCTGTCTTAGGATACAACAAATCCATCTGTTCTTGGCTTAATAAACGGTGAAGTTTAGGTCGAGCTTTTTGTAGTTCTTTCTTTAACTGAATAGGATGAAACTCTTTATCAAATTGAATTCTTACTAAAGGTGTTGCGATTCGCAGGAGTATGACAACTACTTTCAGGTAGTTTGATTCTTCTTCGCTGATCCGCGAAGCCATCTTTATAAGAAACTAATGAAATGAAAATAAATTTTCAATTATTTCTTAAGTGTTAAAAAATAATCTGTGAGTATAAATTCTTGAGATAACTTCTCCTGTGTGTGCCACATCATTCTCTCAATTTTAGGCCAGTTTGTGTACTAAAATGTTAATAAGACGCACACCACCTATTCTTGGTCCTCATTCCTATCCACGTTAAATTATTCACTTCAAAACAGTTTATGGAAGTGGGATCAATAAACTTGTATTTATACATCAGACCGTACTGCACTGGTTACCGAAATTTTGGATACACCAAACCAGGCACTTCATATCTGAAAAACAAGCAATATATGACCTCAATTTTAGAATTCATTCATACATTTTTGTATTGTTCAAAATTATCAGTAAATCATGTGTTCTACAAGGATCACCAGTCCTTCACCTTTCATCTAATACCTTAATTACTAAAATATATGCTACATAGTTTTAGATTTACACCTATGCGTAGGAACTATTTTGTTTTAAATATGTACTACTTTCCCGTATGTTCTTTTTTTAACGGGCTCGATTAGGTGGTGTTGCATCTTACAAAGTCTATCTAAATTACTTTTGCAAAGAATTCCGCTCAAGCCGGTGCTAGGGGCCGTCTTAAACTTGCAGTGAGGTGAGACATTTTTTTGCTACATGTTGAAGGCCTCACTGTGTCTTTGAGATGAAGAACAGCAATAAAAGCGCAACAATTCCTTTGCTTTTTGTGTGTTGTTTTGCTGTGCATGTATTGATTTTGTGTCATGGATGGATAACCCATATCCTTTGTTTTTCTATTGTATAAAATTCTGATAATATCGCATTAAAATGGAATTTTGAGGTAGGTATTGTTTTATTTTCTATTCTATTGCATCATTCACACATTCATGGATTTCAGCAAGTCAACATGGCGGCTCACTCCTTAGCTACGACATGCCAACTGTGGATTTGACACAGTAAATAGTAGCCAACAAACAAAAAATTGTTTGGGTTAAGAATCATAAGGATTGAACACATTTCTTCTAGTGGTTATTTAAGAAATAATTCATGCAAGCCTTAAATTCAATTTATTTGACGTTTCCTAGTTGCAAATACTCTATGCATACTGTAGGTGTTTGGAATAAGAGAAGATGTAGTGGTCTAAAACATTGAGAAACAAATAAACAGATTTATGGAGATCAACATAGTATCTTTTTTCTTAATTATGCACAAATATGACTTTCACATGTTTTAGATGAATGGATGGATAGGTAGTTGGTAATCAAATTCCTGTTTCGCTATCTCAAATCGAAGTCAAATGAATAGAAAGGATTTACTTGGCCAATATATCAATATCATGCACAGAATGTACCTTGAAGATTGTTCTTTTTGTTAGACCAAAACTAAATCAAGCCAAGATAGTTTTTGTTCATATCTAATATCTTTAATAATTCATTAATATTTATAATGGAGATGAATGAACATTCTTTTTATACTTTTTTTATGATATGAAATATAAATTACACACCTGATTGCAAGGAAATCATAATAATCAGTACCTTGACTTAAGATATTATCATCCGTCCTGAACTGATAGGAACATTCAGTTTAACTTGGCAAGAAGTATATTATCTTTTGCAATTATTGCCCTCCTTTAAAAAAAGTAAAGAAATTAAAAGTACATTTGAAGAAAAAACATTATACAGGGCCTAACTCAACTAGTAGCATTATAGTAAAGTAATTAACTCTTAATTGCAGAAGATTATTCCGAAGTTTGTGTGAAGTAAACATGTACGTTACATGTATTACAGTTTTTTGGGGTTTTTTTTTGTATTACAGGAAAGTTGTTTCAAGTATTTGTTTCTATCAGTCTATTACCCTATTCTAAACCATGGGAGTTTGAAAAGAAACAAAATGATTTGCAAAAAATAGAAACCGGTTTCAAGCATTTAGATTTTTTTTAGAAATAACCTGTTTTTATAATGTTTCTATAATACATGTACCCAAAAAGAGAAATATTTAGCCAAAAAAATTGGATTACTTTTTTTGTTTTGTATGCCAAAGAAAATTGTAGTATATACATGACAAGCTTTTTAGGGAAGCTAATGTTTTTTTATGTTTTTTCTTCTTTTTTATAGTTCGATTCATTTATTCATACTGGTGTTAGCATTCAAATATAACAAAAAATTTACCCGTAGTCAAATCATTAATCTCCGAGATACACGATGCATTCTTTAATAGATACAATGTTCACAAAACATTTTGAGCAATTAGGCTAACATAAACCTCAAATAAAAGACTGTTGATTGATCAAACATTAATTTGTCCATAAATGCTACATGTACAAACCATGCATTCATTTCGTAGTTGACTCCATATTTCTTCGAAAAAACACAAAAAGCAATAGTTGATAAACCCCATACACAAACAGGTTTCTTCCACGCTAAGACAGGCAAGCATTGTATATTGCAAAAGCTTAAGTACGTCTTATTTGTATTTTCAAAGAAATCGCACGGACAAAACAAAGAAGACTAAAATCAAGATCTTGACGAACTAGAAGAAAACAAAAGTCCAACAAAACCTATCCGAAAAATTAAAGCACCGATAGTTAAATAATGTTGTTCAATTTAGTTCACAAGCACCTAAAAATAGTTAGGCTGTTGATCAAACATGCAGCCTATATCCATAAAGCTATCACTCCTTACTGCGCACACATAGTGCTAACCTGGGCTTTGGACAAAACGAAAGTTACAGAACAAAACAGCTAATGTATCATGTCAACCATTAAGTTTTATTCTATAAACTAAAAGAAACATATATCACTTAGTGGCTCTTAAAATGTGAAAGTGGGCTTATGTTTATTTGGACAAAACAAGTTATGGTCTAATGTCGCACGAACAAAATCAAGTTTATGTAACTGATGGTTCCAGATGTATAGGAGGAAACGTTTACCTATGTTAGCAATTTCTTGCAATTAAGGTGGGTCTCTTAATGAAATAAATAAAAATTACATGCACAACTAGGCGCGCGTTGATCTCTTTTATCATACAAAACATGACTTTAATCAAATCAAATCCGTTTAATTTATTTTAAGTCGACAAGTAAAATAACAATACAACATAAGCCTATAGAGAGCTTTTGAACTGACATACATGAATAAATTATAGACAGTGCGTGCAAACACAAAAAGACAACACAAGACAGTGTACAATAGTGTACATATACACAGTTATCACATAAAGAGGACTAGTCAAGCATAAATAAAGCATATATTATTAAGTTAAGCAAGCACATAATAGTTCAAACAATAACACTACAAAATAACAAACAAAGAAAATAAAGTTTTCTTGTATACGCTGCTGCAGCATAATGTAAGAATTGAATGCTTCTTTTTATAATTTTTTGGGTTGTAAAAGCGTTGACCGAAGCACTTTTTTTTATTCCGCTTTCATATTAAAATGTGCGCACGATCAACGCTTTTACAACCATATAGAATTATAAAAAGAAGCATTCAATTCTTATAATCAAGTTTTGATGCTACAACCATGAAATTAAGAGTTATATCAAGCTGTTCGTTTGCTTTCAATGGAATATTTTAACATTGTCACGGATAGTTCGTGCAGTCATTGCTGTTGTATTTTATACGGAAATAAAATATGGTATTGGTGTGTCTGACAATTGATGTCAGCCAATCAAAAATACGGATTCTAAAGAAACATACATGTTATGTACTTATGTACAGTTGAATGTGTGGGCAATATCTGCAGGCGATACGGAAACCTGTTTTACCACTCCTGCACGAGATCATGGACTTAAATTGATAACAATTTGAGTACCCTCTGTATTCTTTTGAAAGGGAGTTCAAAAGAACTGGTGAAGCATATATCGTATATAATAAAATAAAAGACTATTTTACATTTTCCTAGATAATGAAGATTTCTAATAAATATGTATAAAAAAAATCCCCAACCCTCATTGAACCCCTCAAAGTATACAAAGAATTCGTGATCGGTCGTTTAACTACAACGCACCATCGTATATAAACCGAATTGTCTTTACTGGTGCTGCTTCAAAGAAATCGGTCGAACAAGTTAACAGCTAGAAGGGTTAAAAATAGAAAATATTAAATTTTGTCAATAATAATAACTGAGCAAAACAATAAGTGTACGGGAAGTAATTTTAAAATCCTTGATTTACTTACCTTCGTGTAAACATGGTAAATGTCGAGGAATAAAACGATTATAAGCACGCACGTATCCAGTTATTTTACAAAATTAAAACAAAAAACAAAAACAAAAAACAAAAAAAAATTCTCAAAATTTCATTATAAATCTTATATATTATTGTTTTGTCCAAATACACAGTATTCACATGCGTGCTAACAATTTACGGACATAACTGCATCAAATAATGTCAATTTAATTTTCCGGTAAAACGTGGGTAATTACATCCGCGTTCGGTTGTTTGATGGATAGTATTTAAGAATTGAATGCTTCTTTTTGTAACTTCATTGGGGTGTTAAAGCGTTGACCGAAGTACATTTGTATTTTCATTCTAAAAATGTGCGCACGGTCAACGCTTTTACAACCCTATGCAGTTACAAAAAGAAGCATTCAATACTTATAATTACATTTTTTAGCTAGGATCATGAAAACACGATTTTTATCAAGATTTTATTTAATTTACCTGTGCACTTTATTGTGGGACCTCGTGTCATCATGAATGATAAATTTTATTGTGTAATGAAGTTGATTAAGGAATAATGCGAGATTGCAGTGTAGCCAATCAGGTTATGAAAGTATAAAAATTTGCGTTAATATGATTTTCATGCAGTTTATAATGAAATTTTTAGAATTTTTTTGCTTTTTGTTTTTGTTTTTTGTTTTAATTTTGTAATAAATGCATACATGCGTGCTAACCACATATTATAAAAAAATCTTACTACACGAAGCATCAGAATTGAAGTCCTCATCCAACGCAATTTGGCTGCAAATTCATACATCCCGCACAGTCAGTTTAAAGGATTTACTGTCGGAACAGGAGAAGTCCAGGGATGACCATATTTCTTTACAAACTCTTAGGGGGGAGGGGGGGGGGGTCATTAGTGTCGGATTGTTGTTAAAAGCTCAAAGTACACATATGAAGCTGGATAACCATGGCGGATTATCCCGGTAAAGATTTAACTTTTAAGACATGGCCCTCGTGTGAAATAATTTCAGGTGAAATCTCCCTAAGCTCTTTATCAGTTCAGCATTAATTTTGTTGTGCAGTTATAATTCTTCTCATTCTGTTCGAACTTGCAGGTTTTCTGTTACATTTAACACGTGCTTTTTGGTAGCTTTCCTTTCAAACACTATTTATATTATTGGTATGTTTTCGGACAAGTCTATCGGAATTTAAATCATGAATTTTAAAGATTTATTATTATCCTCAACAAGCGTAAGCTGATCTGCATGTCACATGTGCTTTATAAGGGGGAAGACCGCATTTGATATTCAAAGAGACCTGACAAAAAAAAACCTTGCGAAAACAGAATGGAAATGAATATTTTGACGGAAAATTTGTACACAAAAGTGAAAATGTGAGTAATATTCGAGAAAGGTGAAAATTAATTTTCCGTTAGAAAAAATCCTCCTCAAATAGTTTATGTAAACACATTACTACAATTATTGCCACTTCCAATTATCGCTTTTAAATTATTTGACAAACAACAATGGTTCTATAGTGACTATTTGAAGACGACGGTTTATATTTAAGCTTTGAGACGACCCGAGAATTGCAGGCTACCTGAAACTAATCGTTAGTGTATGATTTCCGCAAATGTTTAATAGCCTTTGGTGTACGAATATGCGTCATATTCACTTGTATTTCCGCATGTAAAAAATTATAAAAAATGAAAGTATTTTTGATCAGTTGAAAATTTAAAAAAAGATACAATTTTATCCATGGCCAAGAAAATATTACTGTTCAATTATATACATGACCATTTTATCAGTCAATATATCAAAAGGATTTTTGTTTCCAGTTATATTTATAGCCCAGTTTAAATTTTCGGTCAAAGGCAGGTAAAACCAGATTGAGGAAATAATACTAAATTATTTTACGATGTTTCAATACATGTGTTACATTAAAATAGTGTTTTTTTGCAATTTATAATTCTACTATTGCCAAAGACAAAACTTAGATATACTGTAAGTTTAGAAATTATTGCGTGTATTTATTATTGCAACTTTTTTTGAGAATGGACAAAAATGCGAGATGAATTATTGTGATTATCAAGAAAAGTTGCATATAGATATATGTATCAGATATTTGAATGCGAGTTCTTAGTATTGCGATGCTCACCCAAACGCATTATTCGCATTGATAAAAACCTCGCAATAATTTCTGAATTTACAGTTACACCCGTATAACTTCTTATTATAAATGTAATATGATTTCTGATAAGTGTTTGGTAATAAATGTTCTCTTTAAATTTTTACTGTGACTGGCACGTGTGTAAACACTAGATTGTGAGATGCTTTATCATATCATATTTTGGAATAAAATGACCGTGAATTCAACTACAGATATCTTAGATTTACTTTATAATTCCACCTTATGTAATAATGGTGTATTTTGATTGGACGAGAGAAATGGTAATTTCACAAAT